ATATAATAATATGTAAAGAAGAACGAAGAAATAATCATCTAAAAACACAGGATTTGCTACAAACAGAAGAAAGAAGAAACAAACGAAATACTACGAAGATCCATCTAGCTGATCCATCTATAATATAACTCAATTTTCCTATTTTCAATTCTAAGTCAATTTCATTTATTCTATTACTATTATTGTTCTTACTTTTCTATCGTTTATATGAAAATATTTTGAATTTTTCGACTGAATTTTCGAATTGGGTAAGTTCCGTCAGATCATAGTTTTTATATATTTATATGAATAGGTCTGAAAAATTGCTATACAATGTAATATTATTATTAATGTGTCTAGTTAAATTTTTCTCAATCAATTTTATAATATATTTATCATTGAATGTTATCACTTTTACTTGATATTTGTCAGTGTCAAAATAGAAATAAAAAAAAAGACGTTATGGGTAACGTTCTGATAAATAAAATATAATAGCTGTCATTGATATAGGCGTACCAACTACTATGTTCATAAAGCACAGTTTTAGTAGTTGCTGTACCTAACATGTGGATGCAGCCAACAACCATAAGTCTTCAGTAAAAATGAAAATGGCATCTTCGATAACTGTCATTGATTATATTCGTATGTGTAGAAATGAAAGCCATTTATTAACGACCTTAGGGACAAGGACTTTAAATACAAGGAGTGAATGTAATAAATAATTTTATTACCTGAAGCCGTTTGAGTTTTTTTTTTAAACATAATTGCATATAGCAAATATTTTTTTAAATCTCTTAATCATTGAATGATAAAGGATTTTACATTAGCCATATTTAATGAATGATATAAAGAATGAACTGCATTCATTACTCAAATGATTATAAATTTCTTTTTACATTTCCATAAAAACACTAATTACGTGAAACTGGAAATTAATGAGAGAAAAAGTACTGTCTCAACTTGAAATTAAAAATTAATCATTATCAGATAAGTGTAGTGAAAAAAAATACGACTTTAAAGTTTTCGCTGTGCAAATATTTTTCGCACTATGAGAGAGAGTCAACGACCCGCAGAGTGTATAATGTAATCTGACTTCTAGATTAGTTTGTTTTTTTGGACCCACGTGTCTCCGGTTGCGTCACACATCTA